CCCTCTGACACTAACACACTGTTTTGTTTATAATATGTTCTCATAAAATTAGAAACAAATAAGATTACATGGAACATCATTAAATATGATACTCAACAGTATCAATAAAAACAGTACAAACATATGTTTCCAAGCTCCTGAAGAGGTCTGCAAACCCCACAGGGAACATAAGTGTTAAAAAGGGGATTCTTAAAAAAGGGGAAGTGAAGTGAGATCTCACAGTAAACAATGCAATATAAAGATATACGATTGTGTCAATAACAAGATTTTTCCTATTAAAAATAAGTATAGGTCAAATATTTATAACCACACAGCTTAACTTGACAAACTCTTGAGTGGTCAATAGCAGCTGAAGTGAAAGCCTCTGTAATACAGCATTTGAGAAGATCTGAAATGAATAAACTTTTTTTGTTACCTATTTTTCTGCCTTTAATGCTGCATATTCAATTTAATTCAAATTAATTTTTTTCACAATACACATTGTTTCAAAGCAGCTTTACAGAAAAAGCATGTTTACATTCCAGTTTAGAGTGATCTGTTATCAGAAGTGAATGTGTCCAAGTAATGTTCATTTAACAAATAAACAGTTCAAGGTAATAGAATCATACAGTTAGCTAACATGAATTAATTTCAGGCAGAAGCTCATTTATTACAAGTGTGATCATAATGATTATAATATAGAGAAAATTTGGCAGCTGTGCATATCGATTCAAGTTGGCGTCACCGGTGGTCCTCGCAGGGGTCAGCATCATCTCTTCAAAGGTTTGGGTCATCTAAAGTATTTCTATGAGGCTGGATCCATGCATGTTACCTCGAGATGGGCTTCCCAGGGTAGGAACATAAAGGCAGATAGAAAATTAATTAGCGTAGCTGCTGTTCATAACGTTTCAAGCAAAAAATATGTTTTGTGACTTTTATCTGATCTAACTGGGAAAAAGGGTGAGATTGAGATTCAGATTTTTTGACCTGGTAAGAACTATAGCAGCTGCATTTTGGACTAACTGTAGCTTGTTTATTGAAGATGCAGGACAACCAGCTAGTAGTGCATTACAGTAATCTATTCGAGAGGTCATATGCATATGTGTTGACTTGACCTCTTTTACAAATACACAAGTCCCGTACACCAGTATGTTATGATCATTTAGCTTGCCACATGTTTTCTGTTCGATGTAACGAGTAAAGTCATGTGATACCCGGACACGATAGGCCTTTCAGTTAAAAATATAGTCAATACAGTAATGTTTTAAAATATTAGTACAATAGTAATCTGAAATATTATTACCATTTAATATAACTACAATTTTCTATTTAAATATGCTATATTGTCAAATGTAATTTATTCCTGTGATGACAAAGCTGAACTTTCAGCAGCCATTACTCCAGTCACATGATCCTTCAGAAATCATTCTAATATGCTGATTTGGTGCTCAAGAGACATTTCTGATTATTATCAACATTGAAAGCAGTTTTTATAAGAATTTTTGATGAATTACAAATGTCTTTGTTGTCACTTTTGATCAATTTAATGCTTCCTTGCTGAATCTAAGTATTATTATTATTATTTTTTTATTATTGTACTGACCCCAAACATTTGAACTGTCGTGTAGTATGTCCTGACAGAAACTGGCAGATGGAGACGAGTTGGCACAGAATAGTTACAGCTAATTCCTTTCATTCTTTATAACATCAGAAGTGTTATCCTTCTATTCAACTCATTCACAAATTATTTCCATAAGTCATACTGTTAAATTTGCATGTAGCCTATTCTACAACATTACCAACCTCATGTGGCAAACTATTAATCACCTTCTTAAACTGTGGCAATGTGGCTGCGGCCTCTCGTGGGTCATTTAAATAGACCAGACAAGCCGTTAACGATACATCACTTTCTAAGAGCACAATCATGACGGCCGTCCATGTGGGAAGCTGGCAAACCCTTTAAAGCCCACGATATGCTACACTGTCCTTCAAGAGACTTCATGGGGGAACAATACTCTGCATTTTCATGTAGTGTAGGCCTATTAATGCTAAAAATGGATCGCCTAAGTATGACCTCCCTATGAATTGTTTGCAGTGCCAGTTAAGATCAAGATGTCTATTCTGTGTTTTTCACATAACAGGGTGTGTGATCCTGTTGAATTCCATTTGATTGTCACCCACAGGCCTACACTGATGCTTCAATGCCATGAACATCCCAGAATAGCATCCTTTAAATACTTTTTCTCTGCAATGTACAGTATGAATTAGTCTTTGCAATTTGAATAGATTTTAAAAACATGCATCCTCCTCATTCCAACATATCGGAAGATAGTTTTTCATCCTCAACGGTTAACGGCAATCGTTCTCTAGATGAATGCATGGAAATCACAACGCTTTTTGATTGAAACATTTGTGGTCATTATTTGTATATGACATTGGTTTTAAAAGGTGGGGCTGCATTCAAATGTTTTTTGCGGAAACTATGCCTGCAATGGTCCTAATTTTGTTTGTCTTCCATGTCTGGATTCCAGTTGGGACGTTAAGGAAAGTTGAGCCTCGTCCCAGGCATTATCGGTGAGTAAAAATATGGCCTACAAGCTTCTCTGCTCGTCCCTTACTGTTTATATCTGACTCTGGGCTCCAGTGACCTTCTCCCATGTCATTAGCAGCACAAATTTAGTGCTTCGGTTTCTGGAGCGACCAAATAGTTAGACATCATTAAAGACGGGGTGTGAATGCCCATGATGCAGATACAGTTACTCTTACTTGAAGAGACATAAACGGAATCTAGTGTAAACATCCCAGTCACTAGAATGCAAATCTAGGAAAGTGACAAAGATACCAGGCATATCCCTGACTTCAATGACTTGATGAACAAAGACAGGTTCCAGTCAAGGTAGCTTCCTACTACGTAAACATAACACAGCCTTCATACACATTGTTTAAAAGCATAAAGGCTTTATGATAGAGTTTTATGAGTTGCTGGTTAGAGTGCCATGTGGCAGAGTGTTTTTGTGGGGCGTTGAGATGACACAGAATGAGAGTTATGTAGTAGTTGTGCTGACATGTCTTTGGCATGTTCATGCCAGCACAGTGGCATCTGATGTGTCACTGCTCGGACACTTAGCTGTTTTTTCCAATCTTGCTTGGATTACTGTGTGTTTAAATAACCCACCGAGTCTTGACTGATTTGCAATGCTGATGCAACATAATCGAAAACGGCCCACTGATATTTTTTAAGATGCATTCTAAGAAATTAGTATTTTGTGTGATGTTCTTTCATACAGTATAGATTAAAATATGTAGATGATTAAAAAATGTGCTATATAAATAGTGTCATCCAGATTGGATGTTTTTCTAAAGTAGCATTTATTAACTTTTTTTTTTTACTAGTGCACAAATATAGTAATTTGTTACATTTCTTCAGGTTTAATATATATACAATTTAGTAGTGTATATATGTTTTATAAAAATATATGTGTATATATTAGTAGTGTATACATGTTTTATCAAAAATATATGTGTATATATTAGTAGTGTATATATGCGTTATAAAAATCTCTTATACTTAGCAAGGCTGTTGTCATAAAACAGAAGAATGCAACAAGGTAATCCAAACAACAGGTTTTGACAGATACACGTGGATAGCAGGTGAGTGAGCAATGCTGAGATAGTTCAGTGAATAACGGTCTTATCTAAGTTTGGATGAACTGGTGTTGGGGAGCTGGATCCGGAGGTTGGATGCAGATGAATATTGAACGGAAGAAGGTAAGTCCAAAAATATTAAATATAAATAAACAATATAAATAAAAGTATAAAATAAAATATATATATAAAAAATGTGTATTGACCTTAAACTTATGAATGGTAGTATACTGTATATTATGTAAGCAATGCTATTTGGTTCTTTGAGAATTATTCAAGAGCAACTGGATACTTTTTTTTTTTACTGAACCATACAAAAAGGCAATTAGCAATAAAGTAATGTGTTTTGGCACTAATCTGAGGTGGTCTGAAGAGAGAGTTTGTGACCATAGTTGGAGAATAGTAGGCAGGTGGCCAGGCAAGGCCTGTGGTGAGGAAGAGTGGAGCTGACAGCTGGCCTTGTCAAACAATGACTTATTCTTCACCATCCACTGCACTGTAAACCTGCTCTCAACTGCACACACACTTTTTCTAAAGACTGTTGAAAGAATTGCTCATTTGATGTGGTTGCCATCTAAATCTAATGGCTCTTATTAAAAATTTACCATGGCTTTATTACGGTAACACAAACTGTAATGATGATGGTATTTTGGTGGATATTTTGTAGATTGATGCTAAATCATTTATTAGGAAGGTTTCGAAAATCACACCCTTTTTTATTACAGTCATTATACTTTCTAAATGTGTTTAGATTGCTATTTTCATAAAACCATAAATGTATTATTGGAGACCCTATTACATTCATGTTTCCATGGTAACATGGAAATGGTAAGAAAAAAGGATGGGAGATGTTATTTCGAAGGTAAACGGTGTGAACTGGTTTGTTGTGGAGAGAGAGAGAGTTTATGCTGCATATATTTGTTCCTTTTATCTTGAACACTTGAATCAAAATGATATGGTCTGGTAGGGAGATGTCCACTGTATTATCCAAAGATTTTGATTTATAGTTTAACACAGTCGTTAAGGGGAAATTATTTTACAGCTCTCTGGAATTATTGATCCTGACTGGTAAATGTACAGGTGCAGTAGGAGATCTGGGAAAATGCTAACTTTAGCCTTCAGCAGTCAGGTTTTTCATTTTTATAGGATGAGCCTTTTTCGTGACAAAACTATAATACATTGCTAAAATTAAACAGTGGTAATTTGCTATTAGTTACTGATAATATATACATTTTTAAATATAAAATAATTAAATATTTTGTATGGACAAGAAACATACGCTTCTATACATGCAGCGCACATCCAGATCGGCAGGTGGCGCTGATTATGAACGCGCTACAGCAGGATGAACGCAGACAAAAAACAACAGACGAGAAATGTTATGAATGTGGAAGTAAGAGGTGGGTGGATAGACACCTTAGTGACATTTTATCAACTCACAATGTCTAAACTGCAGATTTTAAGTGTTTTTCTGACAGAGAGATTAACTTTGGCTGCGCAGGAGATTTTTAAGTCTGTGGAAGACATGTTTTCAGAGTATAATGAGGAGATTTGTCGCTCCAGACAGGAGATTGAGCTGCTCAAGAGGAGACTGCAGCAGGCAGGAGTTCAGATGGACTCTGGTTAGTCAGTTCACCTTACATCTGATTCGAATGCGTATTATTTTCAGGTTATGATTTTTTTATAAACACGAATAGTTAATGCGTTTAACTCAGCCCTTTAAATCAGTTCACAGTATTTATGTTTAGATCATGCCAATAGAGCCAATGAACAACAACGCTTTGCCATTTTTATTATGCGGCCGCGTTCTTTGTTACTCATGTATCAGTTTTACTAATTTACGCTTGTCAAATGTACACACCTGACACATTCTTCTTGATCTTTAAGAACTTATTTATTATGTTTATTCATACAGAAACGCAGTCTTGCTCCTCTGAGACTCAAGGAAAGAAATACATCCAGACATTTTCAGAGGAATGGAGATCTGAACATGATTTTAAGGACACTGAGATGCATATGAAACTAGAAGTTTATACACAGCAGGAGGAGAATGAAGAGCAAATGCCTGTATGCAGTGAATCGGCATCTTTATCACCATGTATGGACAATTATCATGATCAGACGCCCAGCAAAGACACTGAACCCCAAATGATGGACAGTAGTGAGAATAATTTTCCCTTTAACCAAGGACCACGAATAAAGACTGAACTTGAGAGTAATTCTGAAACAAGTACCACCTGTCAAGTACAGCAGCACATCACAAAACACGGCTTGAATGATTCAGGGGCCAGCGATTCTTCCAGTGATGCCAACAAAATCACATTCAGCCACATTGGCTCGCCCAGACATGAGACACAAACATTTAATGTAAGTCTGTGTACATGTAGAAAGCTCATCTTAAAGTGAAGTATTATTGTTTTAATTTAATTAAAAAACTAAATGTGAGCCGATGGATGTCATTGTTTTTCAGCTACCCGTCAGAAATCAAGAGATGTTGACGCAGCATAGGATGGAGCTGGCCCAGATAAGAGAGAGGTACTTGAATTGATTCTTTACTGTTTCATCTCTGCTGATTTGAGTTGACATTCTATAGTGAAATGAATCATGCACTAGCTAGACTACACAAATCCTTTGCCTGTCATACATGTAATTTGACTCTAAATATGCTAAAGAGTAATAATGGAACAACAGTTTTAAAAGTGATTTTTCACTATTATTCTATTTTTTTTCACTATATTAGTCTCTGTGTAACTTTTAATTTATTTAAGCCACAAAATTAACTTCATTCTGTAAAATAGGTGTAATGAACTATGCAAAAAGCATTTCAGTTACCCAAAAATCAAACATAGTTCACCACTCATGCACGTTATTACATCTGTCAAAAACTTATTTGAATAAAAGAACTAAAAACATTGACATTAGGGTTGTGTCGGTGAGGAAATTTTACCACCGATTAATCGAAGTGTGACAACACGGATAATACCGGTATCACCGTGAGGGCTTCTTTTTCTCGCTTTCCTTCACTTTTAAACAGCTGGCTTGTGCATTTTACTTTCACTTTCAAATAGGTGCAATTCGGCGTAAAGCAATTGTTCATTTGAATTTTCCCTCTTTTCCTCGCTTTCCTTCGCTTTTAAATAGCTTGTAAAAGCGCTGTGCGAATTAGCGGCAATTCGGTGTCAATTGCTTGAATGCAACAACAAAATACAACGTCAAACTCACTTTAGCCTATATATAAAACATAACAAAACAAATACAAATACACCATGCTATAGGGCAGGCTATGCCTAATATAAAATAACAAATAACTTACATAAAGTTTAAATAGGTATACAAAACTGGAAATAAGTAAACATGTAGCCTATAATATAGAACCAAATAAATAAGAAACATAGAACGTTTATTAGCAAAACGAGTAAGAAAGCTTGGAGGCACGGCATACACCTTGATGTCAAATCAAATAAATAAATGACACAAAGTTTAAATAAAGTAAAAATCAGCAAACACTGTACCAATTAAATAAGAAACAAATGTTTAAAATACTTCCAAATCACCTTAGATAAATGGCAAAAGTCAACAGGCTTTTCAAAATACTGCCAAACAGGCGCTTTTGCATTTCATTTCGAATATGAATCATCCACGATCGTCTTGTCTGTCTCACCCCACTCTTCTTGTCAGTCAGCTCTCCTCACTCTCCTCACTGGATAAATTAAATCTGATCTGTGATGCGACTGTCGTTCGGCACTCTGCATTGAGCAGCCGTGTTCAGTTTTTAATTGTAGTGTCTGTTCTTTTACTGAACTAAATGTTTTTTATTACTATAAAAAAATCAAAACGACTCTTCTTGTCAGTCAGCTCTCCTCACTCTCCTCACTGGATAAATTAAATCTGATCTGTGATGCGACTGTCGTTCGGCACTCTGCATTGAGCAGCCGTGTTCAGTTTTTAATTGTAGTGTCTGTTCTTTTACTGAACTAAATGTTTTTTATTACTATAAAAAAATCAAAACGATGGTGGGGGTCGGTGCAAGGTGGGCAAGTGACATAACCGGTGTTGTGGCTTAAAGGGGTCAAAAGGGGCGATTTAAATTTTTCCTTTCTCTTTGGAGTGTTACAAGCTCTTGGTGCATAAAGAAGATCTGTAAAGTTGCAAAGACTAAAGTCTCAAATCCAAAGAGATATTCTTTATAAAAGTTAAGATTCAACCTTTGTTTGGCCTTCCAAAAGAGGACGATATCCGCTTCGTCATGCCTAGAGCTGATCCGTGCTGGTCGCTGAGGAAATACATCAACTTCGCGCTGTGGATCACCGGATTGGCTTTCACAGTGGACGAAGCGGAGTCCAGCCCGGGGTCGTCACATGTGGTTGCCGCAAGCCCGCCGGACGCTCCTTCGTCGAATCTGCCGGCCGTGCCGTTCTCAAGCCCGCCCACCTCTGCTCACTCATGCTGGCCTCCGCTCACTCCAGCCCGCTGTGTGTTTCGTTGTGAAAGTGACTAGAAATCAGTGGTTAAGTTGTATTTACAACACTGTTCCAGAACAGTTCAACCCAAATATTCAGATGTGTGCAGCGCATTGTATGGAGGACTGTTTCCTGATCCTGGTAGAGTAGACTACAATGCCGGCTGTTCTGACTCACAGACTGTAAGTAAGTTTTTTATAAATAAAGAATTTGCCACTGACGATTCAAATGAACATTTTGAGCAGTGTAGAGTAGCACTTGTTGTTTGCCATATCTCCGATTGCAGACATGTAGACAATGCAGACATGGTTTTATGTTTACGCGGCACGATGCAATGCAATGCGTAAAAAGACAGTATAAGTCATTATAATCCATAATTATGTCCCCACTGGGTGCAACAAATGCCTTGTTTATAATGGGTTTTAATGTTTTTGTCTCGTCGCTCTGGCCAGACGGCATCACAGTATGGTAAGGGGCGTAACATTTCCCTCACACGCTTGAGGTATTCGGCCAATCACAACACACTGGATAGCTGGCCAATCAGAGCACACCTCGCTTTTCAGACCGATGAGCTTTATAAAAATCGATGCGTTTCAGAAAGGCAGGGCATAGAGAAACAATAATGTACAGTATGTGGAAAATTATGTGTTTTTTAACCTTAAACCGCATAAACACATTTCATTACACCAAATACACAAAATAATGTTCTTTTTAGCAACATCACATGACCCCTTTAACAACGGTATCACCGTCAGCACCGTCTATCGTGGCAAGCCTAATTGACATAACACACTCGTGGGTGTCTATGACTTCACTGAATATTTGCTGGCTAAGAAATAAATAAGTATTACTTATAAGCCATCTGTTTTCAAATCCAGATCATTTGAATTTCACAACATCAGTGTCTGTCAAAACATAACATGCACAATACACACTAGTATTTATGAGAATCAGAGATCTAGGTGATTTATTGACAGGTGATTTAAAAAAAATGTTTGATCACTGCCTTCTCAGTTGTTTAAAAGATTAAGGCAAATTATCAAAGTTTAATAAATTATATTTAATTTTCCAATAAAAGATTATACATTTTTACATGATTTGTTACATTTAATTGCCCTTTGCAGATTTTATATATTATAAGCAGATTTCTTAAATATGATTTAGTTTCTCTTGTTTCAGTCTGTCTCCATTGTTATAAAAAAATGTAAAACAGTATCTCCAAAAAAAAAGTGATCGATAAAGGGTTTTTGATGCTTTTGATTTGTTCTCTTCCTGGGTGATTCTCACATATGCATCAAAACATATCCAGATCAACCCCACCATAGTCATGTTAATTTACTGTACTTTTACTGCCGTTACTGCTTCTAATTTCAGTCGGTGACTTTTTTACTGTTGCACACATTTCTCAATACAGCATAGTTAGATGGCTTTAATCTGTAATGCGAGTGCTGGATTGCATCAGTGAGAACTTCATGTTAAAGCATAATTGATGATAATACTTTTACCTAAACATTATTAAATAAATTATACACTACTGTTCAAAAGTTTGGGCTCTATAAGATTTTGATCAAAAAATGCAGTCAAAACTGTTATATAGTAAAATAATGTTCTAATTTGAATGAACTGTTTTCTATTTGTATATAATTTGTAATGTAATTTATTCCTGTGATGCAAAACTGAATTTTCAGCAGCCATTCCTCCATTCCTTCAGTGTCGCATGATCCTTCAGAAACCATTCTAATATGCTGATTTGCTGCTCAAGAAACATTCCTGATTATTATCTTGTTTATAACAGTTGTGCTGCTTAAAATTTTTTTGGAAACGGATTTATTTGAAAATTAATTTATTTGAAATTAAAATCATTAGTACTAACATTATAAACATATTTACTGTCACTTTTGACCAATTTAATGCTTCCTTGCTGGATGAAAGTATTGATTTAAAAAAAAGTCTTATGTCCAAATTTTGATTGTTATTATTCATTTAAGCAATAAATCACTATTATAATTATAGTCACAGTTAACAGGTAGTTGCACTAGACTGCACATTCTCTTTCAGTCATATGCATGATGTGAGCGCAGAGGCTGGCATCCCACTAGGGCTGTCAAAATGAATTTGAACAGAATTTAAAAGGCATAATTTCAGTTAGGGGGAAAAAAAGCTTTTGGCTTCTCTCCTGAGGCCACAAGAGGGCGCATCGAGCAAAATATTATGCACGTTTCTTCAAAGCATAATAAAATAACACAACTATCTTTGAAAAAAAGTGCATAATGTTTAAAATAATGTTTATAAACCATATATAATTAATACATTTGCTTAAACAATTAGAAAAAAAAACCAGCACCATGCATGTATGTATAGTTTAATATAAAGAACCGAAAACCAATCACAAAGAGTAGGCTACTTTCTTCATTTAAAAACTTGAGAAACAGTGGGATGGGGGAAAACCACCATAAAGTCTTGAGACATGTTTTTTAAAAGTTGAACTTACGTTAATTTTACATGGCTTTCTAAACATGCCGCTCTCTTGTGCGAGACGCGAGTGCAACGCTGATAGATGCCCCGCTAGAAAATGTGATAAATATGCGTTCTGTGTGAACAGCTTGGTTTCAGTTTTGCCGTAAACAACATATTCGCCACACTGATGCTCTCGTTTTCCGCTATATATTGAATGACCAACGTAGCAGCGCCGCTTCTAGTGGGTTCAGCTGGATAGGCTAACAAAAGCATTAAAATTCAATGACACTTACATTGTCGTAGCATTTCGTGCGCCACTGATAAGGCTGCCTGATGGCTGACGTAAAATTGTGGATTTTTTTTTTTAATTCGACGAATATTCGAAATTCAAATTTTTATTTGACAGCTCTACATCTCACTAGCTAGTTTTTCAGCAAATGTCCAGGTAGTTTCATGTGCTTGCAGCCACATCCCTCAGCAGGTGGGTGCTAATAGCCTCAGTGACTCAACGTCCTGCTGAGTTAACGCCCTGCTTAGTCTCTGACAGTATCCAACATGTCTGATTTTATCTCTCAGTCTGACATTCGTGGCCTAGATAGTAACCAGTGAAAAAGTTCTGTTTGGATCTGGCAACTTTTTCCCCAGCAACACTGATCGTGCTCCATTGTGATTGTGTAGCAACACTTTTTTCAGGGGGTTTTCTACATTGCATCTACGACAAAACCTGGATGGATAAACACAATCACACTCATTCACAGGGCAAGGTAAGTCAGAGGCAGCGATTTAGCCTGTTAACCATCTTCTCTTCTTAACTTGTGCATGTGACAGAGCTCTAACAGAAAAGAGTGAGATTTTAGCTGAAATAGACTGTAGGTGTGACATCCCCTACCAAAATAGAGTTATTTCGAGTCAGCTAGTGGGACACCTCTCTAAAGAAGCAAATGCTTATGATAGTTCCTTTTTTAAGGTCAAATTTTTCTTGTTGTTTAGATTGACAGATGAAGAGCAAAAGAAGGCTGCATCTAAAGCTAGATCCCTAAAGCACAAGCAGAAAGTATACGGGAATCCTGAGCTTCGTGAGGCATACAGGAAAAAGGAGAGAGAGAGGTATACTGCAGTTTACATGAGGAAATACTGTTCAGGAGTGACTGTAGGTTAGATGCTTTATGACCAATGCAAGTACATATGCATTGTATTAAGTACTATAGCAACAGATCATATATACTTAAGAAATATACTACAGTTTAAAGGTTTGGGGTCAGTAAGATTTTATTTTCATTTTTTATTAATACTTTATTTAGCAAGGATCCATTTAATAGTTTAAAAGTGACGGAAAAGACATTTAGTAATGTTACAAATTTCTATTTCAAATAAATGCTTTTGAACTTTCTATTCATTCAAAAATCCTGGCAAAAATGTATCATGGTTTCATGAAAAAGCAGCACAAGAATCACATGAATGATCATATTTTAAATTGTAAAAATATTTCACAATATTACTCTTTTACTGTATTTTTGATCAAATAAATGCAGCCTTGATGAGCATGAGAGACTTTCAAAATCATAAAAAAATCTCACAGACACCAAACATACATTTATATATAAATATAAATGTATATATTGTGGTGTGTAATATGTTGCAGTGTATTTAGAAACAGTGAAAATAAGCTTTAGATTGAGCTTTTTAGAATCAGCTTGACACTGACTCTGAGATTTTTCTTATTTTTGTAGATATCAAAGACGAAAATCTCAGGGGAAAGTGAAATTCGCTAAAGATCTGAACCCAATAGAATTGAGAAGGCAACAGAAAAAGTGGAGGGAGAATTCAGCCTCTTACAGGAGAAAAAAATCATTTCAGGAGGTTTTAGTCAACATTAAAGAAGACATTAATCAAGTCATCCCAGAGCCAGAGCCGTCCACCTCCTCTGATCAACATTATGGTATTTTTTAATGTTCACTGAGAGATATGGGCAAAATATTCCTGTTTCTCAACTGATAGATTATATGAGTATGTCACTAGCCAATGCCAAGGTCATTGGTACGATTCCCAGAAAATCTATGTATTTAATGTGCTTTACAACATCTGCCAACTGCATAAATGTAAATATTCTTTAAAAAAAGTAAACGGCATGCATTCTGACAGAAATACTAGCACATACACATTCATTCCATGTCATCAGTGTCATAATTTGATTAAAATTGACTTTAGATTACACAAATGACCAAGATTTTATGATGTTTTATGCTCTTGGTGAATTTTGAAATAAAAAAAGTGAATGAAGCAGTACCATGCAGTGTGCTTGTTTTTTTTCATCTGCCTTAATGGGGTCTTCATTACTGTAATGAGTGGGGGGGGGACATTAGGAATGATAAAGAAAATAATAAAATATGGTGTAATGTATTTTTAGCACAGAAGTTCAACTGTTCCAAGTTTAACCATTATATTATTTGGACATTTGTTTGTGAGAATCACCCAATGAAAATAGTTTTTTCCAATTCTTGCCCAATCTGAAGTAACATGTATTTATTTTTTCCCCACAAGAAAATTGCAATCACAGCAGGAAAGAAACGAGAGGAATAAGAGTGAAAATGAGGAATTTCAAAGAGTAAAGCAGGTCAGACACATTGAAGAAGTCGCACATGATAAAGAACAACAACAAACACGTAAGGGCATTTAAATTAACAATGCTACTTGAAAATGAATTGATTAATTGAAAAAAAAAAAAAAAAAGGATTTGCCAGATATTGTGTTTCACGTCTCTTTTAGACTCCCAGGATAATAAAAAGTGTAATTTGACCTCTTCTGTAGAGTCAAAGACAAACCTGGCTGACATTTGTTTGGAGGAGGTTCAGCATGAAGAGGAACTGTCTGAAAGCTACCCGACGCATCATGATATTCACAGAAATCCACACGGTACAGGAGAGTATTTGTGTGTTGTGTGCCCCAGGAGATTCAGCACACCAGGACTGCTGAAAATTCATCTGCGAGTTCACTCCGGAGAGAAACCCTACCACTGCAACTTTTGTGGGAAAAACTTTAGACAATCAAGTCACCTGAACACACATGTGAGGATCCACACGGGAGAGAGACCTCACATCTGTCAGAACTGTGGGAAGACCTTTATTGACTCGAGCGCAAGAAACAGACACTTCAAAAAATGCGTTCTTATCTCTCTGCAAGGACAATGAAATCATATGGAGCACCTGTTGTTCACTGAATTGGAAATGTCACAGTAAATACTTTCAAGGCTGAAATGAAGGCAGCTGATTTTTCATAATTGTGCTGTTTCAATCGATAGGTCCGATCCAGTGTCATAAAAAACATAACCGTTGATAGAGTGATGTGTCTTTAAAAAGATTTGACATTGTTTTTTCACAGAAATTTCACCTGAACTCCTTGAAGCACTTCCAGTGGTACATTTTCCACAGCAGGCCTAATTGAGTTTGAGCTAACTGAGGTATGGCAGGCTCACATTTGAACCATGTAATGCAGTGTTCATTAACTGAGAAAATCTTGCTGCTGCTTCTGTTCCCGCTTCCAGATTTGATCTTGTTCCTTCTACTTAATACTAAATGTTTATTAGCTAGCATATTTAAGAGAAAATGTACTACTCTATTTATTACTGTTTTTTAAAGCAAACAAAATATTTTTTTTGGTACATTTCTTTGATCTCATTTTTCCACTGTTACTCTGGAATGTAATAGGCGAATTTTGTCTGTAAAGTCTTATAAATGACAGAATATGTTGTCTTTTATTATTATTATTATTATTATTATTTTCAATCTTATTTTAGTTCTGAGGTTTATCTTCATATAAACAATCATTTTTACAACCGAAAAATAAAAACCATGCAAAAAGAAAAAAAAAAACGTTATTAATTACTGTATTAATTGTAATTAAATGTTTATTCTACAATTTTGAGATTTATGGTGCAGTAATCTGTTAAATTCTGCATATTACATTGAAAGGATCAATCAGATCACAGTTGTCATAAGCATTTTTTCCACCCAGTTTTTTCAACTGGATGTGACTTTTCATGATTTTCATAATAAAATTGCAGTCAATTTGCAATCTTTTATTTTTCTATTTAAATGAAACAGTATCTTAGAGGTGCATTTGCTTGGAAGTATTTCAACATTTTTGTTGGCTGCTTTAACTATCTCAAACTCTAGGGGGCAGAAGTGATCCACTGTCCTTTATATGATCCTATAAAGCAGGGCTGTCCAAACTCGGTCCTGGAGGGCCGGTGTCCTGCAGAGTTTAGCTCCAACCCTAATTAAACACACCTGAACCAGCTAATCAAGCTCTTACTAGGCATAGAAACTTCCAGTCAGGTGTGTTGAGGCAAGTTAGAGCTAAGTTTTGCAAGCTCTACAACAGCGTGTGGTCAATATCAAGCACTACAGAATTTATAACAGGATGTTGTTCTTTCTATCCTTGGGTTTCTCTCTAATAGCTGAGTTGTCTCTGGTCTCCTTTCCCCGCGGTCAAACCTCCAGGCCAATCAAAACCAAGGCCTCTTATTTGCTGAAGCTTTGAAGTACTTACCATTTCTATGGCAACATCCGCCTCTTTGGTAAGTAGAGGACTGTGCCCAATTCTTCTTGCAATTACGAGTTGTATTGCTGTACACAAAAGCCCTGCAGATTTAGTTGTGAGCACATACTGCAAAGTACTCGCGTTATGGTTCACTGCTGCGGTTAGTCTACAAGACTTGCACTGGATCAACACTAAAAGAAAAATCCACTTCATTTAGCTGTTCAGATACCGGCATGTGAACATACAATGAAAAGTGACAGTAAATGTGGAAGAAAGAAAGGGAAAATAATTTTAGCAAGTATGAATTTGAGTCTTGTTTGTACATGAAAATTTGTTCCTGCCGTGGCTCTTCCATTGTTGCCAAAGAACCTGCCAGCCGTCCGGTCTCTCTAGGGTCCTAGTGGGTGCAAGCATCAGACTGAATAAGTCAACCTGCTGATTGGGCTTGTGGGACAGCTGTCAAGAACTGTTTTCTGCCACTGGTGCATAAATAGACACTAACAGGTCATGAAGTACTACCGTGTATACTTTACTTTTCAAAAGTTTGCGATTATCTGGAGATGTAACAAAGGGAATTCCATGAACACCGAACAGAGCTTCAGACATCCCAAGAACAGAGAAAAAGTGTTTAATAGACATTTACTTGCACAGTGGGGGGTATCATAGACATGCAGTACCAAATATAATGCCATGGGGGAGCTGGCATTCAAAGTAAAAAGTGATTAAATCATTCTAGTCAATGCAAAGCACTATGCATAAACAAGTGTGACTGTGATTTTGCAGAGTAGGACAAGATCATCATCATCCTCGTTGATCCTGGAACGACATTTCTCACAACCCAGACTTTAGTGATAGGAAAAGTTCAAGGTTGAGGGGTTCAGCAACATTCGTATCTATGTACTACATATTTAATCTCTGATTTCAGCAGTATAAGTCCATAGTAAGGTTTAGGAATCTTTGAAAGGAATGTTCTTGGAGCATGAACAAAAATAAAGATAAATCCAGCAAAACATTACTTCTGCTTTCCAGTGTTTTTTCAGTGTCACCTGTTTGCACAAGTGGCTTGTGCATAAAGCAACAGGATTTCTTTCTCAGTTCCCTAAGAAAATGGCATCATGCAATAGACCTGCAAAGACAAACTCAACAGCTCATGCATGGAGGTCTTAGATTGACTAAAAAAACACGGTTTACTGCAATTGTTCTTCCTTATACGCACCCCTATGGCCATTTAGAAAAACACATCCTGCTATTGGATTGCAGAAGCCCCTCCACCTAAGAAAGATTCTCTGCAATTGCCATGGAAACTGTCTGAAAAGAAACCAGCAGCATTAATACCTGTTGCCATTTCTCTCCCTCCTACATCTACATCCACGTAACGGTAGAAATGGCAACAACAACAACAACAACAAACTCACACTGGCAGGCTAAAGCTCCAGGCAGCCGCTACACGCCAAACTGAGGTTACACATATTAGAATATGCATATGTGAGGGGGTGGACCCTGCTTTAACACGATAAGCAAACGAACAGATCTGCTCTGATGCTGGTGGTACAACCATGCTGGTAAATCCAATAAATGTTCTTAATAGGGAATAAGAGTACTACGTTATCTTGCTTGAGATTGGGAGCAGACAAAATTATTCCCAAATGTTTTGATCATTACACAAACGCATAATATATCTATGCTTGTGGCATGCGGCTACTTCCCGAGAAGATATAGTTCAGAGTTTCACCGCCTCATCTCCCTAATAATGTGAAACATTCATCTAATGTTAAAGACAGAACTAGCCCAATCCTCCTCCAACAGCAACTTTTATTTTATTATGTTGGAAATGCTTCTCAATTTACCCGTTTACTACATGGTGCATACTTGATTCTGATTGGTCAGTTGTGGCATTCAGTGGTCAAATATTTTCTAATGTTCTCCATTGTCCATGGCAACACTCTATATCGAATTACTGAAATATGCACTACTTTCATATCTTTTGTAATGCATCACACTATTGACCCGCTTGTTCTTGTTTCGTGATGATATCTTGCATCTCGGTTATAATAGTGATAATAGCTACTGTAATAAAGATGCTGTCTTCTTACTAGGCAGATTATTTTGAACATCATAATAGATTATTTTTGGTTACACTTTATGTGCAAAAATTTTACTTTTAGAGGTACAACGGTTTGTTACTGGTGCAGTATTCTTGTGGGAACGCCGCCGTCTCTTTGTACCTTATTTACCCCTAATAGATTCATATTAATACCTTAAGGGTATGTATTACTTTTCTGAGAAAGTTGTCACTTTAAGGTTGTGTGTGTGTGTGTGTGTGTGTGTGTGTGTTGCCTTTCGTCTGGCCTTGAAAGGCTGAAAAAAAAAAGATTTTTTATTTTTATTTTTTTACAGAGAACTTGCCCAGGACAATTAGTATTTAAAGGATTTATGTGCTCAAAGGATTTGCCTTCATTCTGTTTTTGAAATGCTAATAGATGGTAATTATTAAATTCAGCAAGTGGTTTGGGACAATTTCAGAGCTCAAAGTGTGCAAGCATTCTGGCTTGGCTTGAGTGTTTTTGGGCACAGGTACAAATGTCTCTGTACAGGTCAGTGATGAAAGGATTGATGATATAAACGGTCTAATCATCAAGGCTAAACTGACAAAAAATCCCACAGCTTAATAGCGTGAATAAATGCCATAATTTTTCTTTGGGTATTCCAATATTGCAATATTTTTCATAGGAACAATCTCATAATGTGTTAAGGGTCCGCAAATCTATTTGATATGATCTGAGCATTCTGTTCTCAGCAGCACTTTCATTTTCCAGCAAATGTGAGGTAGCTGCTTAAATTAAATGAAGAGAATGCAGATGGTTTCATGAGAATACAAATCGACCTCTCCATGTCCATCATGTTTATGAAAAATAAATACTTGATTCACTCAATTATTTGAATATTTTAGGTCAGTCACCTTCCCCGCAAACCATCGGCTGTATCATTCTGATATGTGCAGCAGCACAGTTGTTTCTAAAGAAAAACAGGGTCTGATTTGTCAGATTCTTGACTATGTGGGTTTCCTCGTGTGTCTGCATGTAGAAATCAAATAATTGGTTTAACAGTTGTTTATATGAAAAAAGTGTTTAGTTTTTTATTTTTTATTTTTTAACAGTGCTTATGTTGGTAACCACAGTTCAAATCCAGCTGCATGGTGTTAAAAAAAAGTTTTCTAAACTCCAGATGTTACCTACTTCCACAGTGCTCTTTTTCTATTTTCTCAACTTCCTAATAGCCCATCTGTTGAATTGTGTTTAAAACTAAGTGACAGATGATTTTTGAAAAATTGGGAAATTAAGGCTTAGGCTAAATGTCATCTGCATATTTTATCTAAAATTAAGTTGAGGTAAGAAAAAAATATGATAATTAAGATTTTAATAAAAAAATATAAATATAGTCAATAAAAAAAATTTAAAAATATATTTAAATTTATAAATATTGTCAAACAATATAATTTAATGACATATTTAAAAAAAAAAAATTAAATATTAAAATAATAATAATAAACACCATGTCACCCACTCAGGTTTTATAGTGCAGTTTTTTTTCCATGCCTTCTTTTTTTTTCGTTTTCATTTTTGTCCTGAAAAACAGATTACTGTGCCACTGTGTGTGGTATGCCATCTATCAAATGGAGGCTTGCTCAGGTATATGGATCGATTCAATTCACTTTCATGCCCTTGTTTTAGTGACCTCCATGATCAAGAGCTTTGTAGTGTAGCAAACTCCATAATGCTGGGAGCAGCTGTAGCTTCAGACACTTTATCATATCAACTAAATTACACAGCAAAATTACTGGCCAAAAGGAAAAAGAAAAAAAGCAGCCAACAATGTAATATGTTATATAATCTGCATAACTACATGAGTGAACAATTGAACAGTTAAAAAATTAACATGGATTTAAAAAGAAAATGTAACTGCTGTAATTGAGAATACAACAAATTAAATATCAAATGACTAAAATTACAAACTAAAACTGAAATAAAAAATATAAAGACATAAAACAGAAAAAATATTAAACAGAAAAAAAT